AACGGGCGAAAATGGTGAAAGTACTGTACCTTAGAGATTATGGAAAGAGGACACAATAACTTTATTATTGTTGTTTTGCATCTATTAGCCGCTTTACAAATAAGTTGCTGTTAATCTGAAACATATAACTTAATTGATGTATTGGTTTGTATAGAAACATTCAACCTGATGTGGAAATTTATAATAATAACATTAATGATAATATTAAAGTCCATTTCGGTCCTCGCGTAGGTAAGATAATGAAGATTATATATCCGCTTTGTACGAATTGTTTTCATTGGACTTTAACGTAGAGTGCTATGATTTAATATTAATCGTTATTCAGGGTACACATTATCATTCGCGATGTCAGTGGTTATTTTATTATAATTAATAACAGAGTTGTAATCATTTGTTCATAATATATCTCGTATGCGTCAATTGATTAAAATTATGATATACAGCCTCGGCGGCAGTAACTTACGGTTAATTTAAGAGGTCTATTTAGTCTATTCTTACGTCTACTATCATCTATTTGGACTTTTTGAAACAAAGAAATTGCAGACCCGTATTCTGTAAACTAGTTACCAACAACCCTCTGACGCTGTTCAACTCCGTCTCTAAATTACCGGTTCTCTGAGATGGATCATACAGCTCTTCTATTTTCTTATAAATATTCGTAAATATCTCTTGCGCCTTTGGAGTGGCATATTGGGCAAGTATTTGATCCATTACTTTTATATCAAGTACGGCCTAACAATGAAAAATAAACAAATCAGTGGACAGACACGTCAGTCGGGCAAGCGCGCGAACGTTTACGAGGTTCTCACCTGCAACATTCCACCCATTCCGAATCTTTCGACTTGTCCAAAGGCGTCATAACAATCTTGTACCATACTATCTAGTAGTTCAGATAGTGCACGATTGACCAGTATCTTGGATACATCACTAATCTGCGAGTGGACCATTACCAAAGTCAAGAGAGCTTCATAGACAAAAGCATGGACCTCTGAAAATAAATATAACCGTCGTATGCATAGATTTAGTAAGATTAAAGTATCAATATCGCACACCCGAACGTCCTAACAATATCTCTTTTTATACTCGTACCAGTTGGTTTTGCGATGTTGTACCAATCAATGCCACTGTTGAGGATACCTTTCCTGATAATTTCAGAAACCGCCTCTTTCTTAAGACGAATGTAATCCGCAAAAAATATCTCGTCAAGTTGATCCACATACTCATTTATACTCTAATTTACAATAGACAAAACAAAAATAAGATTTCCACTGTGACGTATCATGAACAATACTCTACGAATGTACTCACGGAAACTTCAGCAGCCATTTTGCATTTGTAAGCATTCTCAAACTGCGAAACAAGTCTGGGGATCATATATTGCTTAAGACTGGCCAAATTGCTGACGGTCAGTAATAGAGTCGCTTCCTAAATGGAAATTCGGAATGCAATTGATGAATACTTGCTATGAATTCAAATAAAATAGCTTCTCTGTCATCAACTCACCGAGTCGGTTGGGTCTATCCGAGGTCTAAATATTGACTCGTTCGTCTTATTATCCACACGTTCCACAGCTGCATCAGAAGCAATATCTGGCAAACTGTCAAGATATGCTTCAATTGATCTAAAGAATGCGCCTTTAATTCTTTCAAGATATTCTGGCGGAATGCTTGGACCCTAGGAAATTATAAGAATGTTAACGAAATGCCGCACCACAATGTCTCTAATGAATACTAGGCGATATTATATCTACGAACCCCTTTACTCTCATCAGTGTCTGATACAAATCCCAAGCTTGCTATCTTGAATGCGCATCGTGAATTATATTTATGGAATGTGTGAAAGGTCCTCAGAATCGTAGTGATTTCTCGATTATCTGAGTCCAATGTCCAGTCTTCTAACAAATAAAAGTTCGTTGCATCTATCCAAAATAAAGTATGTAAGAACGATTATCAGGCGTAATTATGTTGAGACGGTCCCACAGTATAAAATATAATTTATATACCATTAATCCATGTATCGCACAATACTCCTACAAATCGCCACCTCGTTTGTTCCATAAGTGTTGACAATGCAACAGTAGCCTCAGCAGCGACATTAATGGCATTGATATCATTCACGCATTCACACATCTCCATTACAATTTTCGTCAAAAAATAGCAAGCAACGACCGAGTCAGTTTGAGGCGGAACAAATGAATTCTTATGGGGCGTTGAAGATATCGACGATGGTGATTGGACCGATTCCGACGTGCCGTTCTGATCTTCGGTCGATGAAGAAAGATTAAAGAAATCAGATAATAACTGTGCGTAGAGATCTATAACGCCTTTCGCCATTTTCTGCGCTTCTTTCACTTTGTCCAAGTCCATTGCCTGGCGGCGTCGACGATTTGTTGATAAAACTGTCTGATTTTTTTGGAATTTGCCCTCGGCGAACGATTTACTTAATTTCCAAAAGTCGGGAAGGCATCGAAGAAGTAGATCGGAAAGTGTTTTGACTATTACGAGGGTTGCTTGCCATATTTGCACGTCCATTGATTTGCGAGCTGTTACGAATGTGATATAAGTACATAGTATGTAATATATGGTACAGATCTCATTGTGTGCCTACCTGTCAGTGCATCAAAATTACGTGTGCTAATAATCTTAATGGTGTCCTTAAGATTATTTGCTACTTGCCGTTTGTCAATATCATTCGTTATCACCGACTTTTTCAAAGCTACATATTACACAATTGTCAGAAAAGTCTGTTGTGCTGTGCAACCTCTTTCCATACTTAACAAAAAGATATCGTTCACCTTCTATTTTAGCCACTTGCTCCTTGTATGTCTCCTTGAACAAATTAGTAATATAATTATATTGACTATCAAGATAATGCCATACTGGGTCATCGGGAATATCCAACTCCAATAATATGCTATACAAAGGTAAACATTTAGTTAGTAAATTCTGCTTCTGACCCTCCATCTATACGGTCTACATACTTTATTGTTCTCTCTTGATCATCCAATGGTCTCCAAGGTTCAGTTAATTGCTTAAGTAACTGTTCCTTCATCTCTGCCATAATTCTTTCCACCTCGGCCCATACTTTCTCGAACACTTTTCTATACTGCGCTGCTAAGGCTGTATCCTCTGTTGTCTCTCTCTCTGTCATTCCATTTGCGGAATCGGAGGATTCCGGACTCAGCGTTGATTCCATAACCACTCTACCTTTCTTATAATCCCTTATAACCATTTCATAATTTTGCTAATACGAGAGATTAGTTAGGTCAAAAATACGAGTA